TTAAGTAAACACGCTCAAATGACCGCCCCGGGCGGCCCGAGGCACGCTTGCTCCCCCTGCGCGGGATTAGGAACTTTATGATTTAGACCCCGAGGCTTGGCTTTTCTGGTTACCCCTCTCCGGGCATCTCGCGCGCGCCCCGGGCTGCTGCTTCCGGGCACCTCGGCCCCGCGGAGCTCGCCTCGATGCGCCGGTCGCCAGGCTCGAGTGGGTGACGCTGGCCGCGTGAATCTCTGCTCCCCCAGACTGACAACCCGAGGGGTGAGCCTAAGGCCCCCCGCTCCTTTCCTCTGCGTCCCGGATTCAGGATTTTACGTGGGACTGGGCTCCCATTTCCACCCAGGGCAGATTCTGCATCTTTGGGGGTGGCGGGGGGAGGAACCTGTACAAGGGAGTGTGTGTGTGTGTGTGTGTGTGTGTGTGTGTGTGTATGTGTGTGGTCCCTGTTTACCCCAACCGGAGAAAGTAAAACTCTATTCCTTACCCTTTCCCCAAGAGGGCACACATACCTCGCTCAACTTGACGCGAGGCCCGGCCTTTACCATAGGCCCAACTGGCTCTCGCCGCCTAAGAGCAGCACCAAGACCCGGCCCCTGGGGAGCGATGGCAACGCCGTCGCCTGCGGGGCTCCAGGATGCTTGTCCCCCGGGTTCCAGGCGCTCTTGCATTTCACAGCCCCTCACTCTGGTGAGAGAGGCCTCAAGCCTTACAGGAGCTCGGGGCTCGCTGGCGGCGGCGGCAGCAGCATCCTCCTGGGTCTCTTGGACTCCTGCACCAGAGCTCCGCCGAGCGCTCCCGGGGAGGAGGGGAGATTTGCTGGAATGCATAGGCCAGAGCCGGGTGGCATGGGGAGAAGGGGTCATCGGGTCTGCGCGAGGGCGCTGAGGCGTCTCCGCAGGAGGCCTGGATCAGCTTGGCGGGCGACGAGCAAGGGAGAATCAGGACCACCTTTCCCCCTGCTCTCCGGCCTCGCGCTCCCTCCCCTCCCCCGCCCACCCTCGGAGGAGGAAGCCCGCCTTGCATTTGCCAGCCTGGCGGGTCAGGCCGGCGCCTGGCCGGGCCCAGACCCCTGCAACCCGGCTCTCCGCCCCAGGCCACTCGCCGCTGCCGCTCTCCGGCCTAGCTCCCTTCCCCCTTCTCTCCCGGTCGGTTCCGGGGCCGGCCTCGGTGTTCCCTCCTCGGTTACCCCCTCCCCTTTTTTCCCTCCCCCCCCCCTCCCCGTAGCTCTCTGCTCCTGGCTCTGGGGCTGGGCCCGTGACGTCAAACCCAGTGTGGCGTCGGCGAGACTGGCCGGCGCGGGCCATCAAAAGAGCAACGTCCTCTTTCCCAATTACCCACTGTCAGTCCGGGAACCGGGGCGGACCGGCTGGGAATTAAATGTTAAATACCCCCTACAGGCTGGCTCCATTTCACCGGGTATCCAGCCCCCCAGGCCCCCCACCCCTGTTTGCCAACTCCAACCCACCCAGACCTGGAGGGGCCTTCGAAGTCTTTTATTTTCCAAGAAGGGGGTGACTTCTCCATCCCTGGGCAGCCCAACTTGGTGCTTGTGATTTTAATTACAACGAATATACTGCTTCCCCCTCTCCCCGCGTCTCTACTCCCAAAGTTACCGAAGCGGCGCCCTAACTCAGGAGGGTCACTTTCTCACAAATGTTTTCTTTTGTCTTTAAAAGTAATTCTTGGTCTTAGAAGTTCACATTTTCAGGACCAACCTCCTGCAGCTTCTCTTTCCTTAGGGTAGTTCCCTATTTACCCCCTCCCCGACCCCTGCCGCCCTGGCTGTCAGGTCGTTCACGGAGGACCAAATAGTGAAGTTTTAACATTTTCTGTTTGGCTGAGAATTAGGATCAGACTCGAGTATTAGGGTCAGACTCGACGTTCTGGAGTGACTCTCAAAGTATGTGTTTTCTCTCCCTTTCAGCTTCCATTCTTAATTTCAATCCCGGGACTTTCAGTAAAATCGTGCTTGCGTTCATCTCCTTGTTTATGGAATGGTTTCCGCTGGATGTTAGACAGAAACTAAATAATTAAAAGGTTTGGAGAGCGCCGTGAGCAGGAGGAGATGCTGGCAGCTTGACTGGCCCTAGAGAAAAGAGTGGCCACAGAGTGAAGGGAAAATCGATGCTCCTTTACTGGGCCTCCCTAATAAACGGAAGACTAACTGGGCTCAGGAGAAACGAGTGGGGTTGTGTAATCTAGGTGTTAAAATTTTTTTTTCTATTCCATACCTAGAAATTCAACCCTATTTTCAAATAAGATTTAAGGTAGGATTTAAAAAAACAACAACCCCAAACCCCCTCCAAACCTGAGACCAGAAGGAACTACATTTGCTCTCATTTTCTCAAATAAATTGTATGAGATTTTCCTACAAGGATATTTAAAAAATGAAGCCACTTCTCCCCACCCCACAACACACACACACACACACACACACACACACAGGATCACGTTTAGGGATGATTTCTTCTATGTCAACCTTTTGTTTTGGTAGGAAATTTTGTGGGGGTAGAGGAACGCAGAGGGAACCATGTCTTCGGTTTGGTCTTTAAGGATTTAAACAAGTAAGAGCCCATAGCAAGTTCTTTGCTCTGTCCCTGGGCATGCCTGAGAGAGAACCTCCATTCTCAAAGCACACACTCTCAAAGCACACATTTCCTTGGGGTGAGCAGAGGGTGGAACGCGAGTCTTTTCCCGCCTGACCCCAGCGGGCGTGAGTCTCCCAGCTCACCCGCTGCAGGAATCTAAGCACCACTAGGGGATGCAGTGACTCAAAAGAACGAAGGAGGCCAAGGAGGTTCGAACCTGCGGAGCCGGCCAATCGCGGCCCGGCCCGAGCCTCGCTCGGTGATTGGTCCTTTTTCCTTGCCCCGCCCCGGCCCGCCCCCATCACTGTGCGGTCCGAGAGCCTAGTTCCCTCAGCCCCAGGCTGTCCAACTCCGCAGTTTGTCCCGCAGCCCTGCTGAGCCCGGGGCGAAGTCACCATAGAGTGCCGTGCCAACGGCCGGGGTCTTGCGGGTGGAGGGGGCCCGATTCCTTGACTGGGGGAGCACCGCCGGGAGCCGGAGGACGGAAGACTCCGGGCGGGGTGCAGGGACTGATAGGAAAAGTTCAGTAACTGCAGTCAAGACCGAGGTACTTACACGGACTCTTACTGTACATAGGTCAGTCTTTTCTTTTCCTTCCCTCCCTCTCTTCCATCACGTGTCAATCAAGTCCAAGCAAACATCGATTACAAATATTAGATCTAGAGAGGGCGATTGCAACAGCCGGATCGTACTCATTCGGGAAGGACGGAGGGAGAAATAGGAACCACAGCAGTACCACAGACATCCTGATCGCCAGCGTCCGCGATCTTTTAGGAAATTTGCACAAGACGAAAGCCTCCAAGGACCTTCACGTCATTTTTAACTCAACAGTTTTCCGTGTACCTATCCCTCCAACTAAATTCTCCCAGATACCCTGGATTGAAGTAAAAGCTTCCCCCTCACCACCCATAAAAAGTCTTGGTGGTGCTGGCTGGGGTGGGGGTAGAGGGAGTCTGCCCGCAGAAGTTAACTTTATGAATGGGGCAGGCCGGTTTCTCGGGGACAAACTAAGGAGCCCGCGTGAATTGGCAGGAGCGCGAGCCACATTTAAAGGGCCAGAGCGCGAATTCCCTCTTGCCGGCCCCCTCCGTCCCAAACCTCGCCCACCCTCCGCCACGGCCGCCCTCCGCGGCGCCCCTTTCCGGTCAGTGGAGGGGCGGGGGGGGGGGGGGAAGGGGGGGCGGTGAAGTCTTGGAGCGGGTTTGGGTTGCAGTTTCCTTGTGCTCGGGATCCTGTCCCCTCCTCACTAGCGCCAGGCTCCTCCCCCCTCGGCGCGGATGACACTAGAACCTCCTTAAGTTGCGTCGCGCCACAGCTGTCTGCGAACACTGAGCTGCCTGGCGCCGTCTTGATACTTTCAGAAAGAATGCATTCCCTGTAAAAAAAAAAAAAATCCTGAGAGAGGGAGAGAGGAAAAGAGAGAGAGACGGCGAGAGCGAGCCAGAGCGAGCCACGCGATCCGACCGAGCAGTTTCGGCTCGCAGGTCCTCCGCCTGCTCTGCTCTGCTCCTCGCTACCCAGGTTGGTACTGCCTTTTTAAAAAAAAGTCTGATGATTTTTTTTTCTCCACTTGCAAGGACTTTAACTCTTTTTAAAATCAAACGATCTTCTGGTGGAGGACTTCTACCGGCCCGAAGGTCTCGGGACCTGTGTCCCCCTCCAGAGCTAGGGAGGGAGGGAGGGAGGGCAGAGGGGGAGAGCTCTCTCCAAGTTGAACCGCTCGGTGCCGGGCTCCCCAAGGCCACGCTGCTCGGGATGTGCTCGCGCGTCTTTGCCCCGGCGGGCGACGAGCGGGGGCCCCGAGCTCCCGAGGAGGGGGTGTGCGTGTGCACACTGGTGTGCCGGACCCGCGGCGCTGCCCGGTGCGCGGGGCCGGGCCGGGCACGGGGGAGGCGCGCGCGTCCCGCGGCCGACTGGAGGGGCGGTGGTGCCACTTGGTAAACTCAGGTGCTAAAGTACGTGGGAGCTCATCCAGGTCTTCCCCCCTCTTCCATTGCAGCGGACCGGGGAGCAGCGCAGTCTCCGGCTCCGGAGGACGCACGGTGCAGCGCAGCCTCGCCGGCGGAAAATCCCAGCCGTCCTCGCCATCCTTTACATTTTGGTCCCCTTCCGTACCCTCCTTCCTCCACCCCTCCCCCGAATTTATTTTTTCTTCCCCTTCTTCTCTTTGTTAAAATACCCCTAAAGGATTTTTGTCTTTAAAGAAACGAACTCATTTCCTCCCCTTTCCTTCCCAAATTTCCCATTCCCTACTTCGCCACTGAAAGCCAATCATTAAAAGACTACCCCACCCTTCCGACGACAGTAGCACCTGCAAACCCTCCCAGCACAGCGACTTCCCAGCCAGACCGCCCTCCCTCTCCGCGCGCGGGTTCCGGGCCCGGCGAGAGGGCGCGAGCGCAGGCCAAGGCCATGGAGGTGACGGCGGACCAGCCGCGCTGGGTGAGCCATCACCACCCCGCAGTGCTCAATGGGCAGCACCCGGACACGCACCACCCGGGCCTCGGCCACTCCTACATGGACGCGCCGCAGTACTCTCTGCCGGAGGAGGTGGATGTACTTTTTAACATCGACGGCCAAGGCAACCACGTCCCGTCCTACTACGGAAACTCGGTGAGGGCCACGGTGCAGAGGTACCCTCCGACCCACCACGGTGAGTCTGCCCCTGGTGCGGGGACCCGCGCCGAGCTGCCCCCACCCTCCCGGGTCAGGGTGGCAGGGCGGGATCAGGGGGCGGAGAGACTAATCGAAACCCCCTAAGTGCCGTTACTGGTTCATTTAAAACAATTGGGGCCCGGAAATGAGCGAGGAAGGCTTCTCTGCCGCGAGAGTGTGTTTTTAAGAAGAGTCGTGGCAGGCGCATTTCCGCGGCACTAGTCCCCTCGGCCAGATGCCCACCTGGATACCGCAGGCTCGGAGCCCCTGCGGCCTCAGACCCGGAGAGCCCAGGTGCTGCCTCAGCCGGCGGAGGCTCTCAGGGCCAGTCGGCCGGCTCCGGTTCAAGTCTGGCCCACCCTGGCCTTTACCAATGGCCTCGCGATCCCTGATTCCCAAACTTCTTTCGGGAGGGTGGGGGGTAGGATGGAGCTCCTGCCAGAGTCCCAGGGTTTATTTCTTGGGCAAATTTCTTATGAGGCCAGAGAGAGAGAGAGAGAGAGAGATTTTGACTCACATCGCTTTTCTTGTAATCTTTCCCCAGAGCTAGTGCGTTGGATTTCTCTGCAGGTCTCCCACCAGTTTTTGGCCTGGAGAAGTGGGATTCTGGTACTTGAAGGGGTTTCAGTGAAAAGTTCCACTCTCATACATTTGAGAGATTGGAGCTTGCCTAGATTTCCCGGCTACACAGAATTTACCAACGTCCTTACTTGTAACTTGCCGCGTGTCAGTTGCCTGCAACTCTGGCCTTACTCTCCTCCGGCCTACAGTAGGCTCATTAAGCTCCCACGGAGGATTTGGGGGTCACCAGGGCTTCCCCTTTTCTAACATAGGTGCAATTTCTAACATAGGTGCAACCCTCCTCCCGGCCCTCTTCCATTTCTCCATTCACCTTGAGTTCTGAAAGGTAAAAAGAAACCCAGCTCTCTGAGCCAGGAAAAAAGCAATAGGAACGTTTTGGAGGTGTAAGTTTGTTCCTAAAGAAGCAAGAAGCTGTAGGTCACTTTCAGGCAGGGAAAATGTGAGACACTCTTAGCCGCGCCAGACCACGGGGCCGGCCTGGTCCCCCTTCCCAGGGAGCCTGGAGGCCTTGGGCCCTGCTGTCACCAGGTTTTCTTCAGCTGCAGCGCTCTCTGCCCTCATTCCGTGCAGCTCAGCAGTTAAGTGGAAATGTGGTAGATGCAGTGTTCATATATTTACTACACGACTTCCTGCATAATATGAATCTTGACCCTTCATGTTCAGAGAAGGCCCCTTCCCCCTTCGCTCCCCTCCCCTTCCTCTGGCTTAAGATTTTTAGTTTCAGTATTGTTCATAATGCTTAACTACAATGCCAAATGCTGACTGGATTAGAAGATCGATAATTTGTGGATGTGCACTGCCTGCAGTTTAAACGTACCCTTCTCACAGTGTATAGGCCTGTGGAAGGAGTAGCTATGTTACACTTGTGCAGTTCCCGTGAGTGTTGGATAGACTCAGTAGGAGTCAGCATTGCCTGGACACACGCACCTACCTCGGCCTGGCATATCTCAGGGGTTCAGGTAAAAGTGCAGGTGTTGCCTTGTTGGGGCCACAGCTTTGAGAGCCTAGGGGGCTTATTTTATTTTCTTCTCCTGGAGGATTTGGGAGAGGGAGGAAAAGCCGAAAAAACAGTCCTCACAGGCTCCAGCTTTGGAAACTTCCTCTAACAGCCTGAACAATGAAAATTTCCTCCTTCCGCCCATCGGCCTTTTGGAAGCAGTAGTGGTGATAGGGGCAAGCACTGTATTAGGCTCCTCTGGAAGTAACCCTAAAATGTGCCCTCTCCACAGCACCCTCCTTCTGGGCCTCGCCACCCTGGGAGCTGGGCACTGCTTCCAGGGCCTCTGGCAAGGGTCAGTGTGCTTCTTTGCTCCCATCATTCACAGTCGACTCTTATCAGGCTGGATGGGATTAAGTCTGGGCCCAGGGACCCTGGACCATTGAAGGCAACCAATAAATCAAGTCAGGTTCTAGCGAGGGACATCCGGGAAGGTAATTTAGAAAGTGACTATCTGGAAAGGCCAAATAAGTCAAGGGGCCACGTCTTCTCAGCACCTCGTGGGTGTCAGACACAGTCCCTGAATCCCCCATCTTTGATGGGACACTGGTGTGGAGAGAGGGGTGAACTGAGGCCCCTCTACCTCTGAGGCATGCTGGCCAAGGTGCTGCTGAGACCCCCTGGATTCCAAGAGTGGTCCCTCCGGGATTTCTTTCCAGGTGGGAGAGGGAGAATCCCCAGGTGTGTTGCAGGCCCGCCCTGGGCTGCTCTCACTCAGCCAGAATCCCGCTCTCCCCTTCCTGCTGCAGGGAGCCAGGTGTGCCGTCCTCCGCTGCTGCACGGATCCCTGCCCTGGCTGGACGGGGGCAAAGCCCTGGGCAGTCACCACAGCGCCTCGCCCTGGAACCTCAGCCCCTTCTCCAAGACGTCCATCCACCACGGCTCCCCGGGGCCCCTCTCGGTCTATCCCCCGGCCTCCTCCTCCTCCCTGTCGGCGGGTCATTCCAGCCCCCATCTCTTCACCTTCCCGCCCACCCCGCCGAAGGACGTCTCTCCGGATCCGTCCCTGTCCACACCAGGCTCCGCTGGCTCTGCCCGGCAGGATGAGAAAGAGTGCATCAAATACCCGGTGTCCCTGCCGGACAGCATGAAGCTGGAGTCCCCGCACTCCCGCGGCAGCATGACCACCCTGGGAGGGGCCTCCTCCTCGGCCCACCACCCCATCACCACCTACCCGCCCTACGTTCCAGAATACAGCTCCGGACTCTTCCCTCCCAGCACCCTGCTGGGAGGCTCGCCCACCGGCTTCGGATGCAAGTCAAGGCCCAAGGCCAGATCCAGCACAGGTAGGACCCTTTTCTCCCTTGGCTGGGATTCTCTTCTCTTGCGCCTGCCTCTCCCGTCGCCCTAATCCAGGGCAGGGAAAAGAGAGCTAGCAGTCTGGTGTCTTGGGGAGCTGGCTGCGCTTCTGGAGCCTGTGGAGATTTGATTTCCCCCCATTCTTGGTGGGGGGTAGGGGGGGCTTGGAGAAGAATGAGGTGTGCCCTCTCCCATTCCAATCTTCTGAAGAGAGGCCTAGAGGGAATGGGATCTAATTAAAAGTAGCCCCCCCACCCCATCCCCAATGAGCTGGAAAAGACAAACAAACACAAAGTGCAACTCCCACCTTTGCTTCGCAGAACTTCTGGGTTCTGCCAGTAACCTTTAGTCCGCTTCCAAGAGCAAATGGAAGGAAGGCTGAGGGAATAAATCTTTAGTGTTTAATGCTCAAAACGAAACCTCCTCAAACCTAAACAAACACAGGTCCCTCCTGTGACCCCTTTGGCCTCTGTGTCCATCTGACTGGCCCTCTCCTGCTCAGCTCCAAGGGGGTCAGGCAGTCCACCGCAGAGGGCAGGCCTTTATATAGACATGGATAAATAAAGTGTGTGTGGATACATAGTATTTTTTTTTTTAATGTTTAAGGGGAGGAACAGGAACCTTGCAAAAGTAACACACCATTTGGGTGGGGAGGCATGGGAAAGGGGGCTCTGGCACCCTCATTTTCTTTAAAAGAAAGAGGTGGGCCCATTTACCTACAGTCTCGTCCAGTGCCCTGGCTCAGCAGAGGCACAGGGCAGGAAGGTGTCTCTGTTAGCGCTCGCTCCGGCCCCAATGGAGCTGAAGCCTCAGGTGTGTGCCTCTGCTTATTTTCTTAAAGAACCAAACCAAGCCAAACCAGAAAACCTTGTCTGGAAGCACATCGTGTGTGTTTTCTATCGGAGTACAGTCACTTGTGTTACAAAAACAAAACAAAACAAAAGCAAAACCACTCCACAGAGCAGTAGTTAAGCTGGGGTGATTTGGCTTTCAAAGGTAATAACCCACCCCTGGTTTTTGCCTCTAACGGAAGCGGTGGAATCGGAGCAGGGACGCCTCGGAGAGCTGTCCCTGTGTGTATGTTAGTGATTATTTGATGGTGACTGGTGCCTCCTCCGGAGGTTTTCCTAGGTCAGGCGGGCATCTCTGCTTTGGACCACTCTTCACTGTCCTCCCTCTGTTCCCCAGCACCGGAGATCGCATAGGAAAAAGAGAGAGTGAAGAAAAGTGGTTTTTCATGGTGGGATGAGAAGTCTTGAAGCAGAGCCTCCCAAATCCTGGGCAGTCACACACACACACACACACACACACACACACTTCAGAGGTAGGACACTGGGAGCCCAGTGACCATGAGATCCGTTTTCAGGGTTGTTGTTTTTTTTGTCCCAGGGTGACATTTACTCTGACTGCCTGAGCAGGACTGTCTCTATTTAGTTGATATGTTTTAGCTAATCCAATTATTTTCAGACTGCTGCACGCGACAGTTGCATTGTTTATCCCGCGCCAAGAACTTTAATAGAGTCCGGATGCGGTTAGGCTGACAGAAAAACTCAGACCTGCATGTTCAGTTCATGAGAGTAGGCAGGAGGGAGAGAGGGGTAGGCTAGCTGGCGGAGTCAAAAAGAAAGCGAGCTGGAGGGAAAGCAGGCAGGAGGAAAGTGCCCCCTCCCCCCCAGTGCCTTGTGGGGCTGGGTTTTCCAGGGGGCAGGCGGAGGGTTGCAGAAAACCGGGGGGGTGGGAGTGGGTGGGTACAGCCTTACTCCTGAAGTGGGCATTAGATGAGCGCTTGAGGACTGGGTATAAAGAGAGCAAACCTATTCGGTGCAAGGTAGTAAGGGGCATTGTTGGGTTTTTTTCTTCTTTTCTAAGTTCTTGTTTCTGGTAGAGCTGTAGGTTGGGGAAGATTGCGGTATCTGAGACTGGTGGAGTGGTCTGGGTGGGGGAGGGGACAGCGCGACTTTTCCAAAGGACTCTGGTTTTCTTGCCCCCATTTGATGTCTTCCTCTCTGGTGGCTTCTGTGGAGTCCTTTCCTTCATCTCATCTCTGTCCTCAAGACGCTGAACAGTGAGGGGCAAGAGAACGGTGGCTTGTCTGACTTAGAAGCAGGAATAGCTAGCCCATCTAGACACCCGTTTTATTTTTGGCAATAGGGCTGCGTGGCGGTGGTGGTGGTGATGGCGATGCCAAGTTGCCTTTTGACTCCCTTCTCTCCAGTCACCAAACCCCAGAACAGCACATCTGGCCAGCCAGGGAGCTGAGGTGTTTGGGAGTGTGGGAGGCTGGCGGGGAAGTTTCAGAAAACCTTCCTTGTGAAGAGAGTAGAGGTGGTGGGAATTCTCCCGGAGGGGATTCTCTGCCTTTTCTAGTGGTTATTTTTGCAAAATTAAAAAAAAAAATCAAACCTCTTTGCAAAAAGGATTTGCTGGCAGAGGAGACAGGAGAAGAGAGGGTTGGTAGCATTTTGGGAAAACAGTTGAATCTGTTGTTAGGGCATCTATGTGGACTTTCTGTGCCATACATATATATATATATATATTTACAAACAAAAGATGAAGGCTTTTAGCAAAGGGCCATTTCTTAACTCCTCACCTGCTCCCTGACTTCCCCTTCCCCTCCTGCTTCCCGCCTCCCTCCTTTTGCCCAGCTCAGTTGCAAGGTCTCTGTAGGAAGGCCAAACGCAGAGGTAAAAGGGGGTGTTTTCAAATGACTGTTGAATGTCAAGAGAACGGAGCTCTGTGGTTCTTGTCACCGAGCAGAGCCGTGTCTGCCTGGGCAGCGGGAGCCAGGCAGCAAGCAAGGACAGAGAAAGCAAGCAAGAGGCAGGGCCTCACCGCCATTAGGAATATTGGTTGTTGGCTGAAGTCACAGGCTAGAGGCCACAGAGAGAAACAAAACAAAACACACGCTAACAACAGCACCACCCCACACAAGGTAATCACAAACTTGCCCAGTGAATCAAGACAGAAAATTGCTCTAGTGTGCAGAACCTTGCTGCAGCGGGAACCGTTGCTAGCTTCAAGGTCTCTCTGAAGAGGAAGCAGTCATCCTCGCCACCACCTGACAAATGAGAGGAAATCAGACTAATCACGTCACACGGGGAGATCCCCCTGTGCCAGGGGCGCACAGGAGCAGGGGTGTGCCCAGCGCTTCCCCCCACCCACCCCCCCACCACAGCAGCACTGGGCTTTCAGCTATGCTGCTACTGCTGCTACTGCTGGTGCTGGTGCGGGAGGAGCTCCCAAAGCCCTCCCTCGGCCCAGGGCCCAACTAGGACCCAACTAAGGCTGGGAAGCTGAGCAGCCTTGTCTTGGCAGGATAGGGGGTGAGCTAGGGAACCCCAGTGGGGACAGGGTCAGGGTTGCTGCCCCCTGAGAAGAGATTGCCCCTTTGGAGCACATACCCCACAGGGCCGGCCTGCCTCCTGGCTCAGGCTGCAGCTGGGACCTCCTGACCACTCACCTTCCCTCCTCCCAGCCCACCATATCTCTCAGAGGTCTGTAGGACAGGGCTGGGGCCAAGCACTTAGGTACCCAGAAAAGTGGCACTGGCTCACAGGCACAGCTTCTTAAAAACTTTATCATGGCCAGCCTCTCTGGGCCTGCAGTTAAGAGTCCTTTTTGAACCTGAAGTTAAAAGAACACATCTTTTGATAGCTTCACACTTTTTTTTT